GTGAAAGGTAGGGGTCTTGCTTCATGATTCTGCACATGGAAATCTAATTTTCCCAGCACCATTTATTGAATAGACTGTCCTTCCTCCAGGGATTGGTTTTGGATCCTTCATCAAATATGAGTTGGCTTTAGATGTTTGGATTGATTTCTGGTGTTTCTATTCTGTTCCATTGGTCTATCCATCTGTTTCTGTACCAGTACCATGCTGTTTTGATTACAACTGCCCTGTAGTATGTCCTGAAATCTGGTATTGTGATGCCTCCAGCTTTGTTTTTGTTGTACAAGATTGCTTTAGCTATTTGAGGTCTCCTGTGTCTCCATATGAATTTCAGCATCATTTTTTCAAGATCTGAGAAGAAACACCACAGAAATAAAAAGAATCATCAGAAACTACTACAAGGACTTGTATTCCAGCAAACAGGGAACCTATCAGAAATGGATAGTTTCCTGGACAAATGCAACCTACCTAAATTGAACCAGGAAGATATAGAAAACCTAAACAGAACCATAACTGAGACAGAAATTGAATCAGTAATAAAGGCCCTCCCAACAAAGAAAAGCCCAGGACCACATGGATTCACTGCTGAATTCTACCAGACATTTAAAGAAGAACTGACTCCAATTCTTCTCAAACTATTCAGAGCAATCAAAAAAGAGGGAGTCCTCCCAAATTCTTTCTATGAAGCCAGCATCACCTTAATTCCTAAGCCAGAAAAAAAGATGCAGCATTGAAAGAGAATTACAGACCAATATCCCTGATGAACATAGATGCAAAAATCCTCAATAAAATTCTTGCCAATAGAATGCAACAACACATCAGAAAGATAATCCACCCAGACCAAGTGGGATTTATCCCTGGTATGCAGGGATGGTTTAATGTGCACAAAACAATCAATGTGATACACCACATTAACAGACTGCAGAAGAAAAACCATATGGTTATCTCAATAGATGCAGAGAAAGCATTTGATAAAAAACAACACCCTTTCATGATGAAAACTCTAAGCAAACTGGGTTTGGAAGGAACATTCCTCAATACAATCAAAGCAATCTATGAAAAACCCACAGCCAACATCCTATTGAATGGGGAAAAGTTGGATGCATTTCCACTGAGATCTGGTACCAGACAGGGATGCCCACTCTCACCACTGCTATTCAATATAGTTCTGGAAGTTCCAGCCAGAGCTATTAGGCAAGAAAAAGAAATTAAAGGGATACAAATTGGGAAGGAAGAACTCAAACTATCCCTCTTTGCAGATGATATGATTCTTTATTTAGGGGACCCAAAGAACTCTACTAAGAGATTATTGGAACTCATAGAAGATTTTGGCAAATAGCAGGGTATAAAATCAACGCACAAAAATCAACAGCCTTTGTATACACAGGCAATGCCATGGCCGAGGAAGAACTTCTAAGATCAGTCCCATTCACAATAGCTACAAAAACAATCAAATACCTTGGAATAAACTTAACCAAGGACATTAAAGATCTCTATGATGAAAATTACAAAACCTTAAAGAAAGAAATAGAAGAGGATACCAAGAAATGGAAAAATCTTCCATGCTCATGGATTGGAAGAATCAATATCATCAAAATGTCCATTCTCCCAAAAGCAATTTATAGATTCAATGCAATACCAATCAAGATACCAAAGACCTTCTTCTCAGTACTTAATACTTTGAATGTCTGTGTGAGTGCAAACTGTTGAAATCTTTACTTAGAATAGAGTTGATCTTCTGTATTTAAAGATAATTAAAAATGAATCTTAATGAAGAAAGGATAGGTGAGGGAGTAGAAGGTGGGGTGGTTTGGGGTGGAAGGGCAGGTATGAGGGCAAGAACTGCTATAATCCAAGTGTTGAAATTTATATCTATTAAAATAAAAGCTTTCTATTAAAAAATAAAGGAGGCCGTGTCTTATCAAATGCTTTCTCTGCATCTATTGAGATAATCATATGGTTTTGGTCCTCAGTTTGTTAATATGGTTTATCACATTTATTGATTTTCAGATGTTGAACCATCCTTGTTACCAGGGATAAATCCCACTTGGTCTAGATGAATGATATACCTGATGTGCTGTGGGATTCAACTGACTAGTATTTTGTTGAGAAATTTTTGCATCTACGTTCATCAGAGAAACTGGTTTGTATCTATTTCAGGTTTAGGAATTAGAATGATGCTGATTTCATAGAAGGAGTATGGGAGGATTCCCTCCTGTTCAATTGTTTTGAAATGTTTGAGAAGGATTGAAGTTAGTTTTTCTTCAACTGCCCAGAAGAATTCAGCAGTGAAGCCATCTGGCCCTGAACTCTTCTTTGTTGAAAGTCTATTAAAGATTCAATTACTGTCTTGGTTAATGATATGTTTATATTTTCTATCTTCATGGCTCAATTTAGGTAGGTTGTATGTGTACAGGAATCTATCCATTTCTTCAAAGTTTCTTGATTTTTTGGCATATAGCTATTTGTAGTAATTTCTGTAATATGTACTGTGACATTGGTTTTTTTTTTTTTTAAAGTTTTTTTTTTTTTTTAAACTTTTATTTAATGCATATAAATTTCCAAAGTACGACTTATGGATTACAATGGCTTCCCCCCATACCGTCCCTCCCACCCACAACCCTCCCCTTTCCCACTCCCTCTCCCCTTCCATTCACATCAAGATTCATTTTCGATTATCTTAATATACAGAAGATCAGTTTAGTATACATTAAGTATGGATTTCAACAGTTTGCTCCCACACAGAAACATAAAGTGAAAAATAATAGATGATTTTTTTAAATGATGATGAAATCAGAGCAGACCTATTGTCATGTTTAATCCCAGTGAGAGTCAAGTTGGGAATTGATAATTTCTTTTTTTTTTTTTCTTTCTTTTTTTTTTTTTTACAGAGGATCAGTTTAGTATGCATTAAGTAAGGATTTCAACAGTTTGCACCCCCATAGAAACACAAAGTGAAATATATTGTTTGAGTACTCGTTATAGCATTAAATCTCAATGTACAGCACATTAAGGATAGAGATCCTACATGAGGAGTAAGTGCACAGTGACTCCTGTTGTTGACTTTACCAATTGACACTCCTGTCTATGGCATCAGTAATCTCCCTATGCTCCAGTCATGAGTTTCCAAGGCTATGGAAGCCCTCTGAGTTCTCCGACTCTTATCTTGTTTAGACAAGGTCATAGTCAAAGTGGAGGTTCTCTCCTCCCTTCAGAGAAAGGTACCTCCTTCTTTGATGACCTGTTCTTTCCACTGGGATCTCACTCGCAGAGATCTTTTGCCAGAGTGTCTTGGCTTTCCATGCCTGAAATACTCTCATGAGCTTTTCAGCCAGCTCCGAATGCCTTTAGGGCTGATTCTGAGGCCAGAGTGCTATTTAGGACATCTGCCATTCTATGAGTCTGCTGAGTATCTCACTTCCCATGTTGGATCACTCTCCCCTTTATTTACTCCATCAGTTAGCGTTAGCAGGTACTAGACATGTCTATGTGCTCCCTTTGACTCCCAGTCCCTTCACCATGACCAACTGTGATCTGAAACTGATCACCTGGAACAGTGAGATGGCATTGGTACATGCCACCTCGATGGCATTGAATTGGATTCCCCTGGTATGCTTCCAACTCCACCACTTGGGGCAAGTCAGCCTGAGCATGTCCCAAATTATACTTCTCTTCCCTCTCCCATTCCCACCACCATGTTCAACAGGGATCACATTTCAGTTAATTTTCAACACTTAAGAATAACTGTGCATCAATTACAGATCTAAACCAGTCATATTAAGTAGAACAGATGTGACATTGGTTTTTAATCTGTAATTTTATTGATTTCAGTTTTCTCCCACTTTTTTGGTTAGTTGGACCAATGGCTTTTTAATTTAGTTTAGTTTTTCAAAAAGCCACCTCCTCATTTCACTGATATTTTGTATTATTTTTTGGTTTCAATTCTGTTATTTCTTCTCTAACTTTGATTACTTCCTTTCTCCTACTAGTTTGGGATTGGATTGCTGTTGTTTTTCTAAATCCTCTAGATTCTGTGATTCATTGACAGCTCATTTATTTGTGGCTTTCCAATTTCTTGATGTAGGCACTAATTGCTATAAACTTTCCTCTTAACACTGCTTTTGCTGTATCCCATAATTTTTTTTAAAGATTTGTTTATTTATTTGAAAATCAGAGTTACATGGGTTGAGGGCAGGAGAGAGAGAGAGAGAGCGAGAGCGCTCTTCCATCTGATGGTTCATCCCCAATATTCTTCTGCTTCACCAATTCTAGTGTTAAGGCTTTCCAATGTACTTTTTATTTCTTCTATTGAATTCTTAATTTCCAAAATTTCATTTTGATTTCACTTTAAGATCTCAATTTTGTGGGAGAAATTTTCTTTCATGCATTTAGTTCATGCATTTTCGTTTGATTACTTCTAAGTAATCCTATGATCAATTTTTTGCATTCCATTTCTCACATTTATTTAATGTATTCATCTTCACATTCTAGTGTTGAAGTGTTGTATTCTTTTGGAGGCATCATGTTGTGTTCTTTATTCTTGTTTCTTGAATTGGTACATTTATTATTTGGCATTTGTGGAGATACTCGGTTTCTTCTTTGTTTTTTGCACATTTATTTAATGTATTCATCTTCACATTCTAGTGTTGAAGTGTTGTATTCTTTTGGAGGCATCATGTTGTGTTCTTTATTCTTGTTTCTTGAATTGGTACATTTATTATTTGGCATTTGTGGAGATACTCGTTGGTTTCTTCTTTGTTTTTTGCTGTGGTAGCTTTTATATTTGGACTATTCCTCCATGGAAAAGTGGAGTATTTATTTTTTCAGTGAATACCTATAGGTGTGTCATAAATGTGGACAGGGAGCTCTGTTCAGTGCTCCATGGTGAACGAAGTGTCTAAGGTGACACCAGGTTGTCACCAGGTTGTCACCAGGTTGTGTGATAAATCTCTTTTTATCAGAGCATAGGTATGTTCTGTTCAACTCAACTGCTCTCTTCACAGGAGACCAGTGCCTTGGCACTAGCCTCAGTGGGTATAATATTCATCTGTGCTGCCACAAAGACCACACAATGATCTGTGAAGTCCTCAGTGTAAGCACAGATTCCCCACCAATGTCCCTCATTAGGGAACCAGGGAGCCCTGAGCATGTGGAGCCTCCCACAGTGACTTCTCAAAGTGCAAGCCACACCCTGAGCCCTCCCATGCAGCCTGTTTTCACTGTGCCAGCACACAACCCCCTTACAGTCATGAGCACCCAGCCCACTGTCAGTGCTCCCCACCAGACTCAGGTGTCTGCTTGGCTGGCTGCTGGGCTCAGACACAAGCTAGCGCACCTTTTACATATGTCCAAAATGGTGCCTGCTCTATATCAGCTTGTTACAGGATGCCCTTGCAGGGTAATGGGGGAGAGAAAAATTTGCCCTATCTTTTTTTTTCTCCTTCAGTTTGGTGGGTACACTATATCCCACAGGGCTCCAAGCCAGATTCCCTTCAGGCTTTATCTACAGCCTATCACCAGTGGCTTGGGCTGCTGCAGACTGGTCTCCCCTCAGTCTCTGAAGCAGGTGTGGAGGCTTTCGGTTTCTGGAGTCCTGAATTGTGTTTGTCCTCACTCTCCACGTAGATCCACAGTGACCCTCTGATTTGCATGGAGTTTCCTCTGCCATTTTCTCCCTAACTCTTCCCTGAGATTGTACTCTTCACTTTTTTTTTTAACCGTCTTCCCCTGGACAGGAGCAGTTAAGCTCCTTCCCTATTCTGTCATATTCTACGTTCTGCTTCTTATTCCTTTTTGTTCATTTGTTTTGTTGGTTGGGTGGTTTTAAATTTTATACTCTCCTTTCTATGACTAACCATGTCCTCTGGGTCCACTTTCCAATCTGCCCCCTCGTGTCCTGGTGCTGCTCTGTTACCCTTCATAGAGGAGGATGCCAATCAAAGACTGTCATTTCCAAGTTGGTATTCTGTATTCAAAGCCATACGTGGCCCTCTCACCATCTGGAGACATCCATACTCCTTTCATAGTGGCTAGATGCCATCATCCAGTGTGATTTCTCTCAATTTATTGTTCTTTTTTCTCAGAAGTTAGCATTTTCTTGGTTTCGTCACCCCTTTCTTCCTCAAAATGTCTTTGTGTCAAGACTAACAATTCCTTGTATATTCCTCAACTCATCTTTCTCATTCCCTCACTCATCTCTGTCTGACTCTCCCTATTTCCATGAGCATTGTGCTAGAAATATGTTAAATTCTCTGTATCATTAAAAGTAAACAACTGAATGAGTACAAGCAATTCTTTTCACAGATATCAATTTTTCTTTAACAACCTCTTTTCTCCTATTTCTATAATTGTAAGATATTTACTACAATAGCCTTCCTTTGATCTCATCCATTCATATCTCCCATTTCCTTCTCATTATAACAAGCTGATTTCCACAAGTCTGTTATCTCTTAATTCTGGAGCCAGACAGTCAGGGCTGCCGACTGCCTCATATCCAGGTCTTTGACTTCACTTCAAGAAGTAATTTAAGTAACAAATAGGAGAATAGTCAATAGTGAGCAGCAAGCACAATGTCATTGAGAAATCAAAGCTACCCACTTCACAGACACAGGGGTTCTACTAGGAGGGCAGTGGCCCCATCTCTGAACTGAGTAGAACAATATAGGAGAAAAATAGTCATGGATTTTCTGGGAAGTACTTGGAGATTTTCTGGAATATAGTCATCCCTCCTTTTCATTACTTACATGGTTCAATGCTTACTGTCATGGTGACTGGTAGGTGTCTCATTTAGCATGCTAACATATGACAATGAGCATAAAATGAGCTGTAGGTCAAATTAGGTCAGCTTAATCCCCTAAACTGCTATGAGTCTGATCCTGGCAGGAGGTCTGATTCTTCTCAGGGCAAGGGGAACCAAACCAACACCTATATGTCTTCAGATAACAGGAACTATCATCCCTCCATGACTCAACTGTTTCTTCTGCCTCCATGTTTCAATTCTACCTCTCGTTCCATTCTTCATTCTACTAAACCTCTCATTATGATCTTGTGACCATTTTATCTCAGTACTTGGTAAATACCTAGAATGAATTTGATACTCCATTAATATTTGGTACTATTGATCACTGCTTCAACCTCACCACTCTCTTGATTCTAGTACATCATTTATCACCGTTTTTTCTGTTTCTGGTGTTTCTCAGTATCCTTATCTGATTTCTACCTATTGAAGATACACAGTGGATAAGATTCTTTTCCTGGTTTCTTTTTTTGTTGTTGTTAATCCATACTTTTTAACTACCAAGTTATCATTCCCAAGTTTTTAAATCTCACCTATAATTGGATGATTCTCAAATGTAGTCTCTTCAAACCTAACTTTTCCTTAGTGACGACAATTTTCTCCTACAGTGAATGTTGCAGAAGTCTTCAGATAAATTTGCCCTCACCTAAGTCCTTTTTGCCTCTGATCCAGGTTTCCTGGTCCCCTAATGCTCTTTATGTCCACTCTTTGCATCGTCATTTACCTGGGTACTGGGTTCTTTTTTTCCTATATCTAACATCTGTACCATCTATAACCCTCATGCTGTAATTGACACTTTGGGATTCAAACTACTTCTCTGACAAATTTTGATTTGATTATTTTAAGAAACTTCAGACTTAAGAATAGCTCTGAAAAGAGTTCTGTTCCAAAATAAACTTAGATTTCTAAAGGAAATAGACATTAGTGCAATATCTGTTTCAGGGAGGGGGCTATATTAAGATAACTTACTACATGAAAGACTTTTTATAAAATTTATTTGAAAGGTATATAGAGAGAGAGCCATATAGGCAGAGCTCTCATCCACTATTATGCTTTACCAAATGTCTGCAAGGAGGCTGAAACCAGAAGCCAAGAATTTAATGTAGGTCTCTCACATAGGTGGCAGGAACTCAATTACTTGAACCATCACCTACTACCTCCTATGGTCTGCATTGATAGGAAGCTGTAATCAAACCCTGGCACTCTGGTATGGGATGCCAGTATGTGATATCCTAGTCATTATGACAAATGTCCACCCTAACCTGAAAGATGTTTTATCTATGTAGTGGAACAGCAGTTGTTCAGCATGCATTTACTCCTCTTGCCCTCCATGGTTCTCACTGTCTCATCCTCAGTAGTTCCAAGACCTTATTCCTTTCTTAAGCTCAGGATGCAATGTAAACTTCAATCATCTGGTCCTTCTTTGTTCTATTTGTTGAAATCCTGGGCATATACATAAGATTTTTTCTACTTTTAATTTGTCTATTGTTAATTTACTTCAATGACTCAATTATGGAACATTCAGAGTGCAGAGAGAAAGTATTTCTCTCTTCTACAGGCACTGGAGATATAAATATGAGGATGACATGGTGCTTGCTTGCCTTCCAAGAATTTTACAGTCTATTCAAGTAGACCAAAACCTAAGCACATGATTTCAATGTAAGATGAAAATAGCAGTGATACATGTATCCAATTCAGGCTCTTCAGACATATAATAGAAGTACATCACCTGGTATAGTGATAGTGACAGTGGAAATGAAGGAGTGGTCTTGGTCCCAGATCTGAGTCTTGAAGAGGGGACTGATTCAGTGGCCAATTGGTTGATATGCGGAGGGGATAAAATTGCATGGTATGAGAAGAGGACCTCATTCAAAATATGGGAGATAAATAGGATAGATAGAGAGGATTCTGGCCTAAGAACCAGAATATGAAATCAAATCTACCATACCTAATGTTGTTACTGAACCAAGTTTGAGTCTGTTGCCCACATACATCAGAACCAGATACCATAGCCACGATCTTTGTGATAACAAGGTGGCTAAGCACAGAGGCATCCTGCTCAAATCTGACTCCCCAGTTGGGAATGTGGGGAAAGTTTTATGGAGTAGATAGGAGGGAGCTAGTATGAAAAAAAAATGTTGGGGAGGTGAGCTCTTATCAGAAGGACTTAGGGGGGCTGTCACTGTGGCACAGCAAGTTAAAGCCCTGGCCTGAAGCGCTGGCATCCCATATGGGCACTGGTTCTAGTCCCGGCTGCTCCTCTTCTGATCCAGCTGTGTGCTATGGCATGAGAAAGCAGTAGAAGATGGCCCAAGTCCTTGGGGCCCTGCACCCACATGGGAGACCCAGAAGAAGCTTCTGGTTCCTGGCTTCAAATCGGCACAGCTCTGCCCATTGCGGCCATCTGGGGAGTGAACCAGCGGATGGAAGACCTCTCTCTCTCTCTGTCTCTACCTCTTTATATAACTCTTTCAAATAAATAAAATAAATCTTTTTAAAAAAGAAGAAGGAGAACTTAGAATAAGAACAGCAGAGTGCAGTCATGTTCTAAGGGACTCTCCAAAGAAAGCAGAGATTTAAACAAAACATGATCAGACATTTTGTTAATAAGATGAGACAACTTGCAGAAAAGGAATGGGAAAAATAAGAAGTTTTTGAGTTTGTACTGTCAGGGAAACCGGTAAAAGGGACAGTCCAGTCTAATAACAGTGTGTCTTGCCCTGTTCTATCCTTGATCATTTTCCAGATTATTTTCACCCATGCCTATATCAGTGTGGAAGGGCTATCCATAAATAATGACAGCTAAGATATTTGGAAAATTTACAATGTGCTAAGCACAGCTCTCAGTGCTTTTCATCTTTTAGTTTATTTAATTCTCAATACAATTCTGTGAAGTAGGAAAGAGTATTATCCTCATCTTATAGCTGAAGAAATTAAGGCCCAAAGAGGCTTCATAACTCACCTAAGACACAGCTAACAAGCATCAGAGTGAAGATATGAACCAGGCTCTCTGTCAAGAATCTATTCTAATCATCATGCACTGCTCTCTTCCTTTGGGCTTAAAATATTTTGTCTTCAGCTTTAAACTTGTAGGATTGATATAACTTGGTATTTGTTCGTAAGATGCTGTGAATATAAAAAAAAATCCAAGAGATAACTTTTGTGTCAAGATAACAAAAACTTGTGGGCTTTAATTAGAAATTTGAAGAGGTCATATATGCCCAGTGATCAAAATATAGATAATCTAAATTTTTAAAAACTGCCACATGTATGCCAAAATTGGCAGGCTTGCTCCTCCTAATAATCTGATAATGATCCTTTCCTGATAATGATCTGATATTTGCAATAGATTGCTGGTTGTTATGGTGACAAAAATGAGGCTTAACTTTGACTGCAAAATGATGAAATGTAGACAGAACAATTTTTCAAACTTATATAAGCATTCATCTAAATGAACCAGTTTCAGTGGCACCATCAAATGGTTTTACCAAAAA